TCCTAATTTCCAAACTCCGAATTTTCTGCATAATATTTACACCACACATTGCCCTTAAACAGGACATCTAGACAATTTTCTTCTTCTTATTCTTTTTAGTAATCTTTACAGGAAAAGGGGTTACTAGCCCATTGTTCCCGGCATTTTAGTTGACTTTTACAACACGCATGGCTTACGGAGGAAAGATTCTTATTCCACTTCCCCATGGATATAAAAGGAAAATTAATAAGACCAAGAACTATTAAGATAAAATCAAAGAAAACTCAGATGAGTGTGTATAAATAAATGTGTATATGTATGTGTAGTGTGACCTAAGTGTAAGTAGAAGTAGCAAGACATGCCTGTAATCTTGCATATTTATGAGACAGACAAAAGACATCAGCAATCCTACCATCATGTAAAACAATCACAGGCTTTCGTTTTAACACTCACTTGGCAGGACGGTAGTACCTCCCTGGGTGGTTGCTGTCTACCAACCTACTACCTATATATATATATATATATATATATATATATATATATATATATATATAAAATATATATATATATATATATAAATATAATTGGGGTCCACCTCTGGTGTAAATTGTGGGACCCATAGCTCGGAGAAGTGGAATAAAAAGGCTTCAAGGAAGAATATTTGGATTTCTTCCTGAAGCCGTTTGAATATTCCACTTCCCCTACCACCCCATCTTTTCATATTTTTTTTTTTACTAATAGGAATATTAGTAACGGAGATAAAACACCTCAATTACTGGGAGCGCTTGAGGTTTCTAAACCTGTATTCCCTGGAACGCAGGAGGGAGAGATACATGATTATATACACCTGGAAAATCCTAGAGGGACTAGTACCGAACTTGCACACGAAAATCACTCACTACGAAAGCAAAAGACTTGGCAGACGATGCACCATCCCCCCAATGAAAAACAGGGGTGTCACTAGCACGTTAAGAGACCATACAATAAGTGTCAGGGGCCCGAGACTGTTCAACTGCCTCCCAGCACACATAAGGGGGATTACCAACAGACCCCTGGCAGTCTTCAAGCTGGCACTGGACAAGCACCTAAAGTCAGTTTCTGATCAGCCGGGCTGTGGCTCGTACGTTGGTTTGCGTGCAGCCAGCAGCAACAGCCTGGTTGATCAGGCGCTGATCCACCAGGAGGCCTGGTCACAGACCGGGCCGCGGGGGCGTTGACCCCCGAAACTCTCTCCAGGTAAACTCCAGGCTAATATGGCACAGAAGATTCAAGAGACACATTATTGATATAAAGGTGGCACACGCTGTCACGCGTGTATCACCGATTACAAGGCGAAAATCTCATCCAGCTCCCCAGAGCTGGGGCATGTGCCCAAAATACAGCAGGCATTACCCCTTTGAACAGCCGCACTGAGCCGCTGGAACGGGAAACTAGCTGCCCTGGGATCCCTAGTTACCCTGATGAGTCTTTTTCCCAGCTCCTTAAGGAATTTAGATGCACTCTTTCCCCATGAGCCAAGGGTCTCTGAGCCTATGGGAACAAACATATAATGATGGGCAAGTTCTCCATATTTTCTAGATTTTTGGGACTCCCTGAGGCTGGCAGCTGCCCCTCCTTCCTCCTTGGTGTATTGGAGATAGGTATCAGCCAAGGTAGATGCACATGTGTAGTCCCACACCACCTGCTTCCCATCTGTCCAGGCTTGAAGAGTGATACCATCTGGACGCTTCTGGCTGCCATCAGATCTGCATAGTTGGGGTGGCTCCCTTACTGCTGGGCATCCAGCTGTTGTGAGGCTCCTCTTGATAATGTTATTAACCTCCTCAGGTCTTGCAATCTTTCCCTCGGATTTACGGCACACAAGACCATGGTTTCCCGAATCGGTCTGCTGCTTCACTGCCACAAATACACCTGTGTTCGGCGAGAATAGGGGCGGCAAGTCGAAGGGCAACACCGATGCGGATGGTCTGTGGGTCGAGACGTGTGCCAAGGCTGGAGTTGGGAACAGCCAACAGAAAGTCCCCAGCATGAGGGGCTCTCACTGCCAGGAGGCGGGCTCTATCCTTCCCTGACACACTCTGAAGCATTGTTGAGGCAATATTTTCCACTATTGGACCATCCCAGTGCGATTGTTTGTAGTTGTTGGGGGGAGCAGGTCTGGTTCCAGAGCCCGTTAGATTATCCCAGATCATTGCTCCGTCAATGAATTTTTGGTCCTGGACTCCAATCTTGTCCCTAAGATTTTTCAGGGAGAATCGCTGCTACAAGCTCTCTGGATGCAATACACGAGGACAGAAAAGCAGGTAACGCAATCTGTGATGACTTGCGGACACCAATGCCTCCTAGTCTGACTGGAAGTGTAGCTTGGTTCACTGCCCGTCTTCTAGAGAAAGGGTTAAGTACTTTCGTAAAAATCTGCCTCAGAATACTGTCATATTCGTGCAGTATAGGGTTATCATATGAAGGTGCACATCTTAGGAAATATGTCAACCTGGGCAGACTCAAGCACTTTGTGAGAAGGTACAAGGCATCGTGGGTGTCCAGATTGCCTATTCGTTGTTCCATTCTCCTTAACTCTTCCAATTTCTTCCTGAGAATTGTGTCAATGGCATTGCTTCCCAGAGGTGCTCCTAGCAAGACACTATTTGTGGGGGCAATGACTGCTGCTCCTGGTAGTTTTGATCTCACTGCATTTATCACTTGTTGACTGACTGAGATGATTTCACATTTGGATGGATTCAGGATGAGACCCATTTCCTGTCCCGTGTCATTACCTGTGTAAGGTCATGTAGGAGGGACTCTTTTGTACCTGCTAGTGTGCCATCATCTAGGAACCAGATGTTTAGCTCGCTGGTCAGTCTGACTGTGATTTCCCTAACTGCTATACAGAAGAGAAATGGTGCAAGAGGATCTCCTTGTTGGACACCTCCGATGATGTAATTTCATACTCTCCAAAGAGAAGCATTGATTCCTTGCTATACCCAGCTGAAACAAAAGGGAAGAGACCAGGGAAATGTTCTTGTACTGCTGCTAATACCACGTCTCTTTTCAGGAGATTGAACGCATTCTTGAAATCTAATTTTACCACTGCATTGTCCTCAGGCAGGTTGTTGATATACGCCCTTGTTGCATGAACTGCTGCTTCACTTCCTTGAGAGACCCCAAAGCCAAGCTGGTTTGGTTGAAGCATCATGGCTGCCTGTGCACGAATACTTCGGACAGCAGCTTTGGATACGAGGCGGCGTAAGGTGTTGCCTACTGCAATTGGCCGAATTCCTCCATCCTTCTTTTTAAGTGCACAAAGTGTTGCACCAAAAGAGAAAGGTCTAATTTCATCAGGAATCAGACCAGCCAAGGAATTGTTGACGAACCTTGTGATCTCTGAAAGCAGTGTCTCTGCAATATATATATATATATATATATTATATATATATATATATATATATATATATATATATATATATATATATATATATATATATATATATATATATATATATATATATATTATATATATATATATATATATATATATTATATTATTATTTTATATATATACATTTTTTATAACACACAAATTTATATATTTACCAGGAGGCCAGGTCACAGACCGGGCCGCGGGGGCGTTGACCCCCGGAACTCTCTCCAGGTAAACTCCAGGAATTCCTGGTGATGTATCTTTTATTTATAACTAATAGGTCCAGAGCAACTTGTGGACATGACAGTGGTAGGTATCGAAGGGGGACATTTTTTGCGACCTAGGTGTCCCAAATTCCTACTTGTCTAACTGATAAATAATAATTATCTGTTCATTTACTGTTATGTACATAATGATACATTCAGATAAATGCAATTTTCCACAAAACCCATCTTGTGTGATGAGCATGACAGGAAACCTATCTTGTGTGATGAGCATGACAGGAAACTCATCTTGTGTGATGAGCATGACAGGAAACCCATCTTGTGTGATGAGCATGACAGGAAACCCATCTTGTGTGATGAGCATGACAGAAAACCCATCTTGTGTGATGAGCATGACAGGAAACCTATCTTGTGTGATGAGCATGACAGGAAACTCATCTTGTGTGATGAGCATGACAGGAAACCCATCTTGTGTGATGAGCATGACAGAAAACCCATCTTGTGTGATGAGCATGACAGGAAACCCGTCTTGTGTGATGAGCATGACAGGAAACTCATCTTGTGTGATGAGCATGACAGAAAACCCATCTTGTGTGATGAGCATGACAGAAAACCCATCTTGTGTGATGAGCATGACAGGAAACCCATCTTGTGTGATGAGCATGACAGGAAACCCATCTTGTGTGATGAGCATGACAGGAAACCCATCTTGTGTGATGAGCATGACAGGAAACCCGTCTTGTGTGATGAGCATGACAGGAAACCCATCTTGTGTGATGAGCATGACAGGAAACTCGTCTTGTGTGATGAGCATGACAGGAAACTCATCTTGTGTGATGAGCATGACAGAAAACCCATCTTGTGTGATGAGCATGACAGGAAACCCATCTTGTGTGATGAGCATGACAGGAAACCCATCTTGTGTGATGAGCATGACAGGAAACCCATCTTGTGTGATGAGCATGACAGGAAACTCGTCTTGTGTGATGAAACACGAGAGGAGAGAACATCTATGCGATGAAGTATGACAGGAAACCCATTCTGTATGATAAAGTAATTCTGTGGGATAAAGTTTGACAGGGAAAATCCTGTTGGATGCAGTGACAAAAAAAAAAATGTGTGCAAGGTGGAAAATAAAGGATAAACGAGGGAGGTGAGTGTGTCAGCAGTCATGAGACATATTGATCACTTCCCTCCATTATACTTCATATTATATTGCGTTTCAGTAAATACGTAAATTTTTTTTATATATATTTTCCACGGTGAATAATACTTGGGATGAAAGCAAGGGGGGTATATGGATGCTTAATATTAATTTAACTGAAAATAGTACTTTTTATAATAAATTATGAGTATCTTCCTCGTTAATTGTATTAGAGACAGTGTTGTGGAGATGAAGAGGCAGCATGTTACCTGTCTACTCTTATATATTACCTAAGTCATCCTCTCATGCTAACTACACCAGTCATTCATGTACAGGTACATGATTAATGTTTATTATAGTTGAGCTACAAGGTGAGTAGAGGTGAATTTAGGCTAAAATAACGTGAAATTTAGCCATTGTAAGTAGAGTTGAAACCTAACAAGTTGTGTGTTGGTCCAACTTAACGTAAATATTATCCAGTTTGTAGTGACATTAATATTCACATAATGATCATTGTTACCTCAGCTTGCATATCATGTTTTTATTGTAGGTTTTATTTTATTTATTTTCTTAAGTGACACTTTAGAGTTTAAAATCGCAGATAAATGGGATTAAAACCAAGAAATGTTTGTAAACAAACACCTGTGATAAACAGTTGTTCCTATATTACCGCATATATTTATCAATTCTGTAAAAAAAAAAAGTACTATGCCCTGTAATACCTTTGTACAGGATTTGTCAAAATAATGAAAATAAGAGAAATAAATGTACATAATGGTAAAATATCGGTATTTTTACGAGCATTTCTATATAAAAGGAACAGCGCTGTATGACCCTGGTGGGTTTAGCGCTTAGTTTTATTTATAAGAATAATAATAGAAATAATAATAATGATAATATTATTGTAATACTTGGAGGGAGGCCGGGGAGGGCTCTTGATCCCAAGAATTGGACATGACTTCCCCTTCCTTGGATCAAATCTGATTCGAATCTTAGGATCTCATTCCCCACGTCCTGTTATGACTCCAGAGGGTTTAGAGCTTCCCTCCATGACTAATAATACAGGTTATGTTTAGCCATTGGTACAAGAGGAATATTAGTCCTGGTGGGATATTAAAACTGGAGGGTGATTAACCTTCCCTGGAATGTTAATAACCCCTGGAGGGTAATTAACCTTGCAGGGTAATAGTGGGAGGGTTATTAACCTTGCAGGGTAACAGTGGGGAGGGTTATTAACCTTGCAGGGTAACAGTGGGGAGGGTTATTAACCTTGCAGGGTAACAGTGGGGAGGGTTATTAACCTTGCAGGGTAACAGTGGGGAGGGTTATTAACCTTGCAGGGTAACAGTGGGGAGGGTTATTAACCTTGCAGGGTAACAGTGGGGAGGGTTATTAACCTTGCAGGGTAACAGTGGGGAGGGTTATTAACCTTGCAGGGTAACAGTGGGGAGGGTTATTAACCTTGCAGGGTAACAGTGGGGAGGGTTATTAACCTTGCAGGGTAACAGTGGGGAGGGTTATTAACCTTGCAGGGTAACAGTGGGGAGGGTTATTAACCTTGCAGGGTAACAGTGGAGAGGGTTATTAACCTCGCAGGGTAGCAGTGGGGAGGGTTATTAACCTTGCAGGGTAACAGTGGGGAGGGTTATTAACCTTGCAGGGTAACAGTGGGGAGGGGTATTAACCTTGCAGGGTAACAGTGGGGAGGGTTATTAACCTTGCAGGGTAACAGTGGAGAGGGTTATTAACCTTGCAGGGTAGCAGTGGGGAGGGTTATTAACCTTGCAGGGTAACAGTGGGGAGGGTTATTAATCTTTCAAGGTAAGAGGGAGAACCCTCCAAGGATATGTTAACCAACAAGGCTAAGTTAACCTACCCTATGAGGTTAATGACCTGCAAGGCTTAATATCCCTCTGTTGGTAACCCTCCAGGGTTAACCCTGGGAAGCAGGTGGTGTGGGACTACACATGTGCATCTACCTTGGCTGATACCTATCTCCAATACACCAGGGAGGAAGGAGGGGCAGCTGCCAGCTTCAGGGAGTCCCAAAAGTCTAGAAAATATGGAGAACTTGCCCATCATTATATGTTTGTTCCCATAGGCTCAGAGACCCTTGGCTCATGGGGAAAGAGTGCATCTAATTTCCTTAAGGAGCTGGGAAAAAGACTCATCAGGGTAACTAGGGATCCCAGGGCAGCTAGTTTTCTGTTCCAGCGGCTCAGTGCGGGGTAATGCCTGCTGCATTTTGGGCACACGCCCCAGCTCTGAGGAGCTGGATGAGATTTTCGCCTTATAATCGGTGATACACACGTAACAACATGTACCGTATATGCCACCTTTATATTAACAATGTATCTCTTAAATCTTCTGTGCCATATTATGTAATAAAATATTCCTATTGGTAAAAAAAAAAAATAGTTTAAAAGATGGGGTGGTAGGGGAAGTGTCTGTGGTCAGTCAAACAAACGGGCTACCACATGGATAAATTGTCATTTTTGTGGAAATTGGTGTCACGCTCCTTGTGCAGATATCCCAGAACTAGCTACAAGCAGTATTAAAACAGAGAAGTGTTTTTGGGTATGCCCAAATGAGGAAAATCTGTGGACTAAAATCACAAGGGTATTAAAAGAGGATAACATCAAAGCTGCTTTCATAGAAAACCTGGAAGCTTTCTACAACAGATGGGAACATAAAAAGTCCGGGCTGAATGGTACTGCCCTTGATACTGGCCATGTAGTCACAAACTGTAAGGCTGGAGGTGATGTCCTGGTAGTCAGTAAATGTGGGGCTGATAGTGCTGTCCTGGGAGACAGTAATGGTGAAGCTGGAGGTGCTGTCCTGGGAGACAGAAATGGTGAAGTTGGAGATATTGTCCTGGAGACAGTAATGGTGAAGCTGGAGATTTTGTCCAGGTAGTCGGGAATTATACGCAGGAAAGGAAAAAAACTATAAATGACCCATAGGGACAGGAGCCATAGTGGGAAACAATTATCAAAGATAAGAAAAAAACCTATTGCAAACCAAAAACCGCAGGAAATACAAACAAGAGGACTCCAATACAATATGAGGATAAATTCCAAAAAAACTGGTGGGGCTCCTTTGGTGCTAAGGGGATAGGAAAAAGACAGGGAAAATGCCCCAAACAGGGAAAAAGACAGAAACCCAAGGCAAAAGGGAAACCAAGCCTGTGCACAACTATGCATTTGGGGTACTCGGGCAGGGGAAATCGGGAAAAAAACAATGGGACATGCACAGACCCCCCTAGAAAATGTCATGCCCATATGACAACGGGAAAAATGAAAACCTCCCTTCCCTTAAGTTTTTTTCACCCTAAATGTGACCTTTCAGTACAGAAAGACTGGTATAATTAAAATTCCAGGCATACCATCTAAAGGGGAAAAAAAGATACAAAACACCGGCCTTTGGGAAAACCTGGGACCCACGCCACTCAAGAGGGGGAGGTTTTTTTTAGTGCCAGGAAGGAAAAAAAACGGGAGGAAATGGGAGAAATCGTACAACCAAATCCATCATTCCCGGAGGGAAAACCCCAGCGATGGCCCCCTCCAAACCAACAAAACAGATACTAATGCCGGAAAAAAAACCCCCCCCCCCCAACAATACCACCAGTCCCATAACATTCTTCTTTGCAAATATACAGGGTCAAAGCCCGCAAAAAACAACAAAATACCTTTCATCCTGGACTGCTTGCAAAGGGAAAGGAAGTTCGCGGCTTTCATGAGCCCCAAAAAGGGTCACTTGGGGCCAAAAGAAAAAATGGATCCAGGTTACAACCTATACAGATTGACAGAGTGAAAAGGCAAAAGGGGGGGGTTGGGCCCTTTCATTGCAGAGTCCTTGTTTGCCAGAAATGCTTAAGCCTCAAATGAGTAGTGGAAGTTTAGAGTAAAGGTCGGAAAACCCAAAAACCCAGCATTGGGTAGCTACAAGCCTCCCTGCAACATCCCAGCAATTCCCGGAAAGCTGTTAAAAAATTGACCACGTCTGGAAAATCTTCCCGCTCCCGCACCCCAAAACTTGTCCGGGGATTTCAACTTAAGGCACCAAAAGGGGGGAATAAGCAAAAAATATTTTTGCGTAATAACACCGGAAGGGCTTGATGAAAACTCACACTCCCAGCTTTTAAAACCTCCAAAATTCAATTTAAACCCGCAAATAATAGAGCCTACTAGACTGGGGAATACACTAGACCTCATCTTCACTAACAATGATGATCTGATAAGAAATGTCACCATATCAAAAACAATATACTCAGATCACAACATAATTGAGGTTCAGACATGTATGCGTGGAGCCCAGACCGACAAAATGAGACTAGTCACGAGGGAGCATTCACCAAATTCAACTTCAATAACAAAAACATAAAGTGGGACCAAGTAAACCAAGTCCTAACCGATATAAGCTGGGAAGATATACTAAGCAACACAGACCCAAACTTATGCCTAGAACAGATTAACTCGGTGGCACTCGATGTATGCACAAGGCTTATTCCTCTAAGAAAAAGGAGGAGTAGATGTAAAATAGAAAGAGACAGGCGCTCCCTTTACAGGCGACGGAAAAGAATAACAGAGCGGCTAAAGAGGTCAATATATCAGAAATGCGCAGGGAGACACTGGTCAGAGAAATAGCAAGCATCGAACTTAAGCTAAAAGAATCCTTTAGGAGTCAGGAATCGCGGGAAGAACTAAAAGCCATAAATGAAATCAAAAGAAACCCAAAGTATTTCTTCTCCTATGCCAAATCAAAATCGAGAACAACGTCCAGTATTGGGCCCCTACTTAAACAAGATGGGTCCTACACAGATGACAGCAAGGAAATGAGTGAGCTACTCAAGTCCCAATATGACTCAGTTTTTAGCAAGCCGCTAACCAGACTGAGAGTCGAAGATCAAAATGAATTTTTTATGAGAGAGCCACAAAAATTTGATTAACACAAGCCTATCCGATGTTATCCTGACGCCAAATGACTTCGAACAGGCGATAAATGACATGCCCATGCACTCTGCCCCAGGGCCAGACTCATGGAACTCTGTGTTCATCAAGAACTGCAAGAAGCCCCTATCACGAGCCTTTTCCATCCTATGGAGAGGGAGCATGGACACGGGGGTCGTCCCTCAGTTACTAAAACAACAGACATAGCCCCACTCCACAAAGGGGGCAGTAAAGCAACAGCAAAGAACTACAGACCAATAGCACTAACATCCCATATCATAAAAATCTTTGAAAGGGTCCTAAGAAGCAAGATCACCACCCATCTAGAAACCATCAGTTACACAACCCAGGGCAACATGGGTTTAGAAACAGGTCGCTCCTGTCTG